GTTAACCGAAAACGACACTACCTCATCTGGTCGTATTTACTTAAAATACGTCTTTCAAGAATTGTGTGAATCAATGGGGCTTACGAAACTGTACGAGCGGGTGACTGATCCGTGAGTTTCGTTTGTTAAGCGGTCATCCCCTCATTTATTTATCAGTGATTTTCAGAACGTTGCAACAAGCCTTCGCTGGATTGTTTCCTCGTGATAACCCTCAGAACACACGATTTGCAATCAATTTCTTCACTCTCACTGGTCTTGGTGGTCTCACGTGAGTGCTTTTAAGCCATCTGGATGTTGCTAGAAAATTCGTCGTAAATAAAAGGGGTGTGCATGGAAATAAAGAGTTCAGGGAAACAGAACTAGATGAGGGGTATAGCTAGCCCTTCTTTCGCTCATCCATAGTCAGTGGCACATTAAAAGCATTGCTCAGTTTGAGCGTTATGTTCGTCAGTCGTTGACCGGTTACCCCTTCTACTAAAGAATCCCCTCAGCTTATCGCTAATCTTATCCTTTGGCCTTCAAAGATTGACAAGTTCTAGGAACTTTCCGGGTGGTCATTGAATGTTGTTACTAGGGCTAGCAAATTGCCGAGAGGATGTGCCAGGCAGCTAAAATTTTGGGCGCATCAATCGCTTATTCACCTTAGAGGCCTTCTGTAATTGCTACGTCTTGGACGTTCTTTGGAGGTTAGACGATCACTTGTTACTCTTATGCTTAGCCCTTTGATAAGTTAGCCGCGCTTGCGAAAACGCTGGATACAATATGACGTGTAACCTTGTTTCGGACATGTTCTTAAAACTAATCACATGTTCTTAAAATTAATCAACAAGCTATCTAATAGATGCCTAATGTATATAACGCTACTGCTTCATCTGAATCACCATCTTTTTCAGACTTGATCTACGGCAATTTCTAGAGAAGGGCATGAAGAAAAAGAAGGAAGAGTCCATTGATGAATCGGCATCGTCGTCATCATCTTCGTCGTCTTCATCAGATGATTCCAGCGACAGTGGAAGCGACAGTGACGATGACGATGATTCAGGTATGTTGTCGTTCAGGTGTAGAGCGTGCTAGAATTGTAAATGGCTATGAATTATAAGGTCTACCTATTGAAGGAATCTTCACATTGCAAATTGTAAAACCATTGTGAAGATTTTTCCCGAAATGACTGAAAGTTATGACCAAATAGTGGTTCATGCGTTTTGATCAATAAGCTGCTCAGTTCTGGGAGGAATTCTCTCATTGCTTTCGAAGCTTTTCCGACGCAAATGACTCATCCCGTTACCAAGTAGTAGGACAAGAAAACTGTTTACAGATTCATCATCTTCGTCGTCTTCTTCATCGTCTTCGTCTGACTCAGATAAAGCAAAAAAGCGGGAAGCGCTCAAGGACAAAGCTAAACGGCGTCTTAAGGAATCAAAGGAGCACAAAGAAGTGAAATCAAAAGGCGTTCAAAAAACCCATTCACATAAATCCACTCGAGGTTCTCTCACTGTTTCATGATGTTTTTCTGATACAAAGGGTACTAGTTCTTATTTTAATGAAGTTGTTAACATATATTAAAACTCTCATCTTACAAATAAATGGAGTTTGTAGGCTAGTTATCATATCAACTTGAGTGTTGTATAGAAAGGCGGGGGTGATCTAGTGGTTTGACGTTCGCCTTGTTACAGTGCTGCTACTATAAATTGGTTGAAGATGGTTTGACTTCTTTGTTGCGGTGCTTTGAAATAATTTTGGGAGGTTTCCGAAAGGAACGTGGGGATGTGGACTGGTGGTCCCACTTCTTTGCTAGAACGCGGCCGAATTTTGGTGGGATTTGTATATTTTTCATAAAGAATGGCGCTAATTACAGATCACTTCACTGACACCATTTATTCAGTTAAAGAAAGATCGTATTTTGAAGCATTCCCATGTAGAAAACAAGCAGTGCTGGATTTCGAAGGCAGTGCTGGGCTTTAGACAGATGTGGCAGGAAATCGTCGTCGAACTCTTTCGATTCTTTCGAATCGTTCTGTTGTTATAATTTCAGTGATCGGAGGGCGACGATCCCCATCGACATCTTTTCGATAAGGAGGTGCACCGGCCTGAATAGATTTGATTGGGAGATGCTATCTGTGAAGTTATTGAGGGAAAATGCTCACATGAGATGTTGAAATACGTCGAGGTGGTGGTTCATCGCGACGAGGTGGTGCATGTGTGTAAATGGGTACATCTCGCGTAGTTTTCCGTTCATGCATCAGGGTTTTTTCATGTTCGCGAATACCGTCTCTGAAAAAGGAAGTACATCTACCTCTACCATAAATGGTAGCGGTTACAGACATTATTGGTGGTTCGCCTTGTTGCCGTGGTCACCATTTATAGTTTGTCTGCGGATGTACGAAAATATACGAAACCTTGCCCACCTGAGAGCAAGTATTTAAAGCCTTTTGGTTTTTCTGGTTGACATTCCAAGGTAATATTTCCCACGGACCTCTATCTACTTTCAGATGACGGGCATTGCCCCTTTTCGGTACAGTGCGATGTGGCACTCATTCGAGCTATGACAAATGACGAGACAATTAGCCGAGGACCTCCGCGTGACCATGACTACTGACCCACGGAATTTTCGAATTTCAGGCAGATGATCCCTTACCGCAGCCCTATCGGGATTCTGTAGCGGCTTATCCAGTATGACAGCCGTACATCCAAACAAATGATATTTCCAAAAACTCACCTGTGGCGATCGTACTGGCTGTGACCGGAGCGTTCTGAAGCTGTGTGAGTGCTCCGAGCAGCTGAGATTGGACGAGATGGTGGTCCTGGACAAACAGGAAAGTAAGCATATACTGCGGCACGATTGGAGCATTAGCATGATAGTTGGCAATCATAAGATTCACTGAGTCACCGTTATCTAGCCAATGCTTCACATTACCACTACGGGCTCTAGGTTTATTATGGGTCTTTGGATTATTTATCAAGGGAATCGTTAATGAGATTACGGTAAGAAATTGGATACGTTCGCCTATGCCATCTCCACTATTGGACAATCGTTTTTGAGGTGGTTTTGAATCAGGGAGAGATCCACCAATCGGAGGACGAGGGCGTTGAATGACCACGCCTCTTCGCTAATCGCGGGACTGTATGAGCTAAAAATGGGACTAGGCCCGATTATTCATCAGACGAAAGTTAATAAGAGCTAGAAGGGTGTAGTAATATGTAGAAACAATTTGTGATGGGTTCAGAGTAATGAAGAGGTCGACAGACAGATCAGCTCCCTCCCAAGTAGGTAGTGCGTGCGGTTAGCAAGGAAAACTGCGATTATTGATAACAGTGTACACTCGAGTAGATGTCGAGTCCCATTTTGNAGTTCCTAATATTTTTTTGAAAATTCTTCTGTTCAGGAGCTGCAGTGCCCTGCGGTTCGGTCTTCTCAGGCAACTGAAACGCTCCCAAGAAAATGGAGTCAGATTAAATGCCAGTTAAGAGAAGTTCTCTGATATTGGAATGAGCTAATTCCCCGAAAAAGCTGTATGTATGCAGAAAACGTGAAATTTAGATGGAACGGCACAAATCCTACTGCAGTAAGCCGAATATTCAAAAGCAATGAATGCAAAAGACTTCTTACGCAACATACCAAAAGTTGAGCGCTCATATTTCCTGTAATCTGAAACATAACTGGAATCCCTAGATCTTTGTGGGCCAGTTTCCGCTGCAGCGAATGATCCTCGCTTTTCCGAATGTGCTTTGGGTGGTTCCAGTGAGCGCTCGACTCTTTTGATGTGCTCTCTTTTAGAAGACATCTTTTCTTCGAAACTACGCCGTTCCTCGACTCTTCGTTCCTGAACAGAGCTCTGAACTGATGGTTGAGGACTTCGAGGTGCAGCGGAGCCGTATTCATGAAACACGCTGTCCACTCTTCGATTTGTCTGGGAGATCTCATCATCGACATCAAGTGTTTGACGTGATGGATGTCGACTTCCTCTGTCCGAAGTCTTTTCGCCTTGAACGACTTCACGCTCGTAGTAGATGGTACGATCGAGTATAGGTGTTTCAGCTGTGAGCTCTCCTTCCCTTTCGCTACGACGATATGGAGTCTCCAGGCCGTCTTTGGAAGGAGCTCTTCCCGAAACGTCTTCACGACTGGCGGTTTCATCAGCAGCCAGAGGAGGGCGATAGGGGCAGACTTCGAACGGAGTAGGAGCCGCGCTGAAAAGTTTCAAACACTTCATACATTCTCTAGAAAACTAGGGAAAAGACATCATTTCTAGATAGAAAGAAAGTTTGACTTATATGTCCCCTATTCTCAAAGGCATTTATCAGAAGGAATGTCCGAGCGGACACCGCTGCAGGTAGTTGGCTCCAAGCGTATGCCTATTCAATGGATCGTTTCGGTCAGTGGTGTTGAAGTGACGCTTT